CTATAAATGAAATCTGACATATTTAATCATCTCATTTTCAAGAGTTAAAAACAGCATCTTTCCTTTCAAATTTTAAACACATAGCACCTTTTAAAACTCCCATCTAAATGATAGCATAGAAGAACTAACTGCAAACATACAGATAGCTTAAAAAACATTAGACAAGCATGGAATTTACTATTATGTATTTGGATGACTATATCAATACTTTTAAAAGTACCTTAAAATTTATTATTATTAAACCTGAATTTTCTGTTTTAAGAGACTCACTATGAAACCTGATGAATGTTTCTGCTCAAAGTGAATGTCTTAAGGTATTCAACAAACAATTGGCATTTTAAAAATATACCTAGAAATTAAGTCAGTCTATCTGTGCCCATTTCCCAGCCTCATTCTTGCACAGTTATTACCAGCATCCTGGCCCTACAGTTTATTCAAAGTGAACAGCATTATTTCCCAGGGAACATATATACATATGTTCATACGCACACCCACACCCATAGAGAGAGAGAGAGAGAGAGAGAGAGAGAGAGAGAGAGAGAGAGAGAGACCAACAGACTGATGAAACATTTTGATGGGCTGGTGTCCATGCTAGACTGTTAATGATTTTACTGTTACCTCTACTCTACATGTAACCACAAAGATAGCTCTTTGATTTTCACATCTCTACCTTAACTATACCAAGAAACCTTATTTGATCATAATATTTAAGTCAAGCCAGGCATGGTATTGAGGTGGAGATACAGAACCAGAAGTTTAAGTTCATTCTCAGCCACAGTGTGGGTTCAAGGACAGCATGTATCAAATCACCAAAAATTAAATTTTAAATGTTTTTAAAATGAAAAACAGTAGTTATTGCTTTCCATATGCCACAGAGTGCACAGCATCTAACCATACCCTCCCCACATTAGCACAGCCGCTCTGTTACCGCCTTACTCTTTGGTTTTGGAGTCCTTACTCATGACAGGTCAGAATGCTGCTGAGCAGAGAGTGCACAGTAAGTAAATATCTCCTGTGCTGAACCATGAGCATTTTCCACTATTCTCTTTATTCAAATGTAAAATTAACTTAAAAACTACCCAGAGGATCCTAATAAATTAAGGAGCGTGAAGCCGGGCGGTGGTGGCGCACGCCTTTAATCCCAGCACTCGGGAGGCAGAAGCAGGTGGATCTCTGGGAGTTCGAGGCCAGCCTGGTCTACAAGAGCTAGTTCAGGGACAGGCTCCAAAGCTACCGAGAAACCCTGTCTCGAACCCCCCCCCCCAAAAAAAAAATTAAGGAGCATCGGCACAGATGTAGGGAAAGCAAGTCTCTGGTTTCACAAAAAAGCTAAACAAAGAAAACTCAACATACAAAAAAACTTTGTCAAAGCCACTATAAAAACATAACCTTAGAGAGCAGCACTGAGAGACGTGGCAGCCGTCCGAGTCACCTGAAACAGCGCAGCGCCTCCCCTGGAGCCTCCCTCTGCTCTCAGGATGCTCTTTGATTTCACTGATCCCTCGTGCTGCTGCCACAGCCTCTCTTCTGGACATGAGTTCGTTATCGCAGTCATGGAAAAATGAACTACTTTATCAACATTATCTGCCTGTGAGATTTTGGCAATCCACACTAAAGTCTGGTAAACAGCCACAGTTATCAGATTCTGCCAGAAGGCAAGCACAGCCTACGGCTCAAGAAGCGGCTCTGCCTGGCTGACCGATGGTTATTCATGAACACTTGAGCTTTGAGACCATCCAGACAGTTTCTTCTATAAAAGCTATATTGGAGAAAAACTAGCTTTACCCAATATAATAAACTTCTGAAGTGCCATTTAAATGCAAAATTAGGTAAATTTTTACTTATATTTTCTCAAATTCTACATTGTATCTCAAAATTCGGCTCTGCTCAGCCTGATTTGCCTTTTATACAGACGTATAGGATTGAATATGTGGCTGGCTCTTTCCAATTTAGTATTATGTCAAAAGAAAAGACTCACTTTCCTTGACTCCACACTCACACTCCTTAAAATAAACAGTTCTTCTAGCTTCTACTAAAGTCTACGCTCCAATCCATGGTTAACAACACGGATTCAATCTCCAACACTGCCTCTGTCTGCAGGTCCTTTGCCATGTAAAGCAATAGCTGCCCACTCATCATCCTGTCTGATGTTAAAAGCAACAACAACATTGAATAGAGCTAATGACAAAACATATCCCATAGCAACACGGGAGGGGTACCGAAGATAATCCATATGGGGGGGGGGGGTCAGCCAAGGGCTAGGGCTGTGCCTCCAGGGCTGGGTGTCTGCTAGGTTCTCAGGAGGCCCTGCACTCGATCCCAGACAAAGGAAGGGAAGAGGATAAAGGAGGGGGTGTTACTCGGAAGTCCTAGGAACTAACCGATGGAGTCAATCCTCTGACATTCACTGGAAGCTTGCTCTGATCTAGCACTCTTCCAGTACTAGGGAGGCATGAATTCTAAGTCAAACACAGTTTTGGCCTTCTAAAACTTACACTGCACTTGAGGGAGAGAAAATAATTAGAATGCATGATGTCTATAAAGGTGCATATACATAACCATTAGAAGTTAACCATGGAAAAATAAGAAAAGGAGGAGGGAACACCCGATAAGAATACACTATTTATACAAGACAGAGAAGGGCACTTGGATGAAGTGCTTCATGAGAAGCAGCTAAACCAGGAAAGAAGAAGCCATGGAAGCCCACTGGGTTTGCTGCTTTAAGATGACAAATATGGGTGATCAGACAGTCCTACTTACAACAATACTTCCCCTGTCCTAGACTCCTCCATGGGCTCTGGGAGGCAATGCAGGTGAGGAACAGACGGTAAGGCACCCAGTCAATAATAGCATTATTAAGTGGTAAAACTCAAGCAATTCTCCCATTCTAGTTGTCTAGTTTCCCTGCACTTATGAGTGCAAAGAATAAAGATTAAAACATACTTTAGTCACTGTAGGCATTACAGTAATAAAATTATATTTTCATGAATAGGAGAAAAACACATGGAAAACAAAAATTGCACCTAAACAAAATAATGCTCTCTATATAGGCTAAAAATAAAGTCTAGAGAGATGAAAATTATGTATTTTCTATCTAATTTTATATGGCATATTATATGGTCAAATATATTAACTTCTTACACAATTTAAATCAAGAAATAGATTCAGTAATAAGAATACAAATAACTTCTCAAAGGAAGATATATGGTGATAACACAACTATAACAAAATCCATATCAATTTCTTCTCCACTCATAACTGAAAATTGTCTTTCATAACTCTGTATTACAATTATCTTTTAAAAAGAGTAACATGATACTGTGAACCAAGGGTATAGCAATGTTTACAATAAACAGATACTAATGTCCATATTTCAAATACTAGGCCTTTATATCAGCCTAATAGGTAGATAAGTTTTAAGTTTTTACCTCATAAAACCATCATTTACAGCTCTTTAACCTTCTACAGCTTCCAGCATTCACTTATTTGCATAGCTAGTGCTAGAAAATTATGGGATAATCAACTCCACAGTATTATAGATCTGACAGAAAAATAATAATTGACCATGTAATAGTCTAGAGAATCTAATCCATTACCTAAGTTCATTTCGTGGAAATTTTTATGTAGTGAGGGATGTAATTTTATTTGAAATTCTATATCCCTACTCAGGTGCAGGTCTGCAAGCTAATTTCTATCATGGATTTGATCTCTATTGTGGACCTGACTGAGCCTACAGATTGTGCAAATATTTGGCTGGCTTGTGAAGCCAAGCATCAAGATATGTATGAACAGTTTATTTTGTATTAGCCTAACATGGGTAAATGTGTGTTTTAAATTGAGGTTGATTCATAATAGGAGACACTGGGACTGAAGTTCACACTTCTAATTAAGAACACAAAACTCTTGTCATCTAACTGCAGAAGCTGGTGTAGAAGACGTTAAAGGTAACCTTGGGCTTGTGGCTTCTGGGAAGTCGGGTGGAAGGAGGGAAGAACAAACTGAAGTTAGATGTGATGAGATGAATTTGAAGTAAATGTTGGGGGATACACTGTAGGGGCAATACTGCGTTAGAACTGTATTTACTTTTTTGAATGTATTAATGGTAAAGTCTTGAGACTGATCACTCTAAACAGACATTATTTTCCAGACTGACAAGGGAAAACACAGTAACTTTAAAATTTTTCCAATTATAACAGCATTCTTGGGACTGTCACTTTGAATTAAAAGCTGCTCATATTCATATACACATATATATATACATATATACATACATACATACATACACACACACACACACACACACACACACATACATACATACATATAATGGAAAGGGCTCCTGCCATACCCAACCCCATTCCCCAATACTCCAAGTGCTGAGGGGCTCATGGGGGCCACTGTTGTTGTGGTCCAGGTGCCTCAGGTGCTGGCTGGAATATGCCGATATTTCTCATGCCCATTTCTATCTCACACGTCTTGGAGCACATCAAAGAACTGAGTGATAGATCTTAGGGGTCAACCTAAAGCAACCTTTGACCTGGCTGGTCGGGAAGGTATGGTTTCTGAGAAGAGCAGCATAGCTTCAAACTGTCCCAAACTTGCGCTGCATTGTAAATCTCATACTCTAACCTCAAATTTGGACTAAACTCCTCATTGCTAGACATGTTCTTTCATGTGTTCATCTTCAAATCTTTCGCTAGAACCTTTCAAAGCACGAATCTTACATCTTTCAAGATGAATTGGAAAAGAAAGAAATGAGACCATTATGTATCCTAGCAAATATTGAGCAGAAAGGCTATGCATCTTAATAAAACTAAAGCAGGTCTGTATTCCAGCTATGCCAGGAGTTAGTGGTATTCACAGAAGTGATTTATGCTGACTTTAACACATAACTTAAAAACTTTCTTCACTGTGAAAAGCGCTAATGAGTATTCTTTAAAAACACACACACACACACAAAAAAAAAAAAACAAACAAACAAAAAATGGAGTTCAACATACCTTAGGAATAGGATTGAGAAGAACCACCCCAGACTTCTTGGTGATGACTTGTTTTGTTGAGAAGTGGTGATCTATAAGCTGAGGGATATTTGAAAACCCAGTGCCCTCAAATCGATACAGATTCTAGAGGGAGAACAACAAAGCAGAATTATTAGGAAGCCATTGTTTCAGAAAAAAAATCACCTTTATCCATGAGTTAAGTTCTATTTAAGGAGAGCTGTCAGTATACAGCAACATAAACATATTTAACAATGCTCAACCACACACTTGTTAGATAGTAAAAATTAAAAATAGACAGAAAAATAAAACTCTAGTCCACTGCCAAATCTTTTGACAGAAAAATTTTCAAAATACATATAACTCACATCATTATTATAGTATAAAGAGAGGATAACAGAATTGCATTTTACTAAAACGGTGACCAAGCAAACAAGCAGTTCACTCAAGTTTAGACATAAGGAAGATGTTAGCATGTTTCTCCATGTATGCTCCATTCAATAAACATTCAGTACCAAAAATACTGTCCAAAGTTTGAGGGTGCCTGATACAACAATAAATAACTTAATACCTAAAATCATTTTTATTTGCTAATATCATAGGTTTTTCTACAACAGGACTCCAATGTAGTATTGGCCAATAAATAAAGATTCAAACATCACTCGCACAAGAAATGAAGATAAAGAAATAAAGAGTATCAGGGCCAATGCCTTAGAGATCAGCAGGCTCAGAGCTTAACACCGTTTTAGAAGAATTATTTTGTTACCGGAAATGCATGTGCCATATGAGCACAGCCATGTGTGTGGATGTCCACAGAGGCCAGAACTGGCTAGATTTGCAGGCAGTCGGGAGCCTAATTGAACTCTGTCCTCCACACCTTAATCCCAGCACTCGGGAGGCAGAGGCAGGCGGATCTCTGTGAGTTCGAAGCCAGCCTGGTCTACAAGAACTAGTTCCAGGACAGGGTCCAAAGTTGTCCTGTCTCAAAAAAAAAAAAAAAAAAAAAAAAAAAAAAAGCATATTCTCTTAATGGCTGAGCCAGGTAAGAACATTTTTCTCACACTCTGTCATGTGACTCCTGGATTTCCTATTTAAGTAGACCAGTAGTTAGGTATAAGAATCGACAGCAGTAAATATAGAAGGAATGCAGTAGCCACACTTTTCAATGCCAGACGACTGTGATGCAAAGTACTAGAAGCTTCTGTGTGCTTCTTCCTTGGGCTTAACTGAACACACAGGAAGTATGCAGATACAAATGTAAGATAACTATTAAGATAACTATTAAGAAATTGAACTTTCTAATCTCATAAAACCAGAAAGGAGAAGCAGGGGTGACTGCTACAGGCTGAGAAAGAGTGTGTGAGAAACAGCAGGAAGCTAGATAAAACACACTAAACTCCCATGGAAAGGGAGTTAGTTCCCCAGCACAGAGCAGTCGGGAGATGAGCCTGTGGAATATCATGGAAGTGCAGCATGCACTAACGACACCAAGCCCAACAACATTCCCGACAAATAAACGATTTCTACGTCTTCCTCTTTCAATTTACTCTTAACACAGCAACTAGGGCATGTTGTCCCTAAGGATCTCTCCTTTGCCCTCCACATAAGGACAAAGACGGATGCTAATCTGAGCTCACCACTGTCTCTCTACTTATCTCTCACCACTCCTCCTTGGATCATTACTCTCCAGGCCCTGTAATTATCTTCTTGCCCTAAAATATGATATGCACTCCTTCCTCAGAGTGGTTTGCTACATGAATTAATTTATAAAACAGCCAGCCCCACAGGTAATATCTCCTTTACTGGCTTCTCTGCCAGGCTTTCATCAAATTATCTTTTCTGTTACGTTAACTCTGGCCACCTACACAATATACAATCTCCACTTTCACCTCCTAATTTATCACCTTCTTTTCCTTATTGACATTTTCTCCTTAGAATGTATGACTATAATCCTTTGACCCTATCATCACATATATTTTATTTACTCTTAAAGGTATGTGCATACCCACAAAGAACAGAAGAGGGTGCTGGATTCCCACAAGCTGCAGTTACAGGCGGTTGTGAGACATTTAGCACAGATGCTGGGGGACTCCAACTAGGGTCCTCTGGGCTATCCCTCCAGCCCCAGTTTAACATACGTTTTTTATTATCTGTTTCCCTTCTAGAACACAGGGATATTAGTCAACAAATTTGTTCACCTTCTGCTCAGTGTGATAGCCCTATGCTCCATATATGGCGTGACGTGTAGAAATAAATATATAGGAATGACATGAATGACTGCATGTTGTAAAGTAAAGGAGACAAAGTAGATAGATTACAAACAAAGGAAAGTTCACACACTCATGAGCATGAGATATCAAAGTAAAATGTTTAATAATAAGTACTAAATTGAGGCCCATACAGAATGAAACTTCAAATCTACCCTGATATAAACTTCAGAGTAGTTATTGCCCTATCCTAATGATGGCTGCATGATTACTATATAATGGGAAAAAAAGTCCACTATACAGGATTAAGTCACAAATTCAGAATTGTTGTGCAAAAAACATGTTGGCTTTTTATTGCACATGAAGACTCACAGCATGAATTTAAAACGTGGCTTAGAGCCTGGAGACTGCAATAGTAAAGCTTAGTAATGCAGAGATTTAATCACCTCAAAGTGAACTTGATCAATATCTAATCTCTTTCCATTTCCTGATTTAAAAACACATGCTATTGGCCAAAGCTTTCTCCATATCTGAACTACAATGTGATACTTTCATTCACGGCTATGTCTGGAAACAGGGTACTCAGGAAGCAGCAAAGCCATCGCTTGAAACTTTGCTCATTTTGTTATGGTTAGCACATAAAAAGTCTTCTATTTTGACATATATAAGGCATTGTTGTCAATTATGTTCTACCAACTATGCCATGAAAACCAGGACTTATTCCTATTTCAAATAATAACTCTGGACCACTGGACCTGTTGATGGACCTCTCCCCCTACTCTTCCCAACTTCTGTAGTGACCACTCAATGCTGGGCCCCCACACAGCCAGCGTCTTCCACTTGGATTCTTTCTCACGACAACATGATCCCAGCACACCCGTACTGTGAGCTATGACCGGATTTCAAACTTTTTGTGGCTGAACAGTATGCTGTGGTGCACACTCAACACTACCTTTTCTTTACCCAGCTACGGGACATTTAGGGTGACACTGACTATTCTGAATAGTGTAAGGGAAACAATGGAAATAGATCTTTTTAACATGTTCATCTCAACTAGCCATGTGATCCAAGGAAGAGGGCTTCTGGATCATGTCATTCTGTGCTCAGATTTTTGAGGAAGCTTCACAATGACCTTTATAACAGCTATGCTAATTAACATTTCAAACACATAAAGACCTCTTTTCCCCCCTTCATTTCCTCACAGTTTTTACTCTTAGTTTGTCTTCTGAAAACAGACATTTTCACAAGAACAACATGCTGTCTTGGTGGTTTTAATTTATATGATTAGATATGTTGAACATCTTCCATGAATGACTGTTGCCATTTGTACTTCCTCTTCTAAGACAGAAATGTCACTGTGAAAGGGTATTCACACCCTTGGACAAGGAACTACAGACAATAGGTGACGGTTGAGAGGGAGACCAGCCCCTCCCGGGGACAAGCCCTCTAGATGGCTGTCCAATACAAAGTGGTCAGGCCCAAACCGCACACACATAAACAACAAGAAGACTTGGCAAGCTGTATTTATAGATTGCATACACAAGTGTATGTATGCATGCGTGCATGCATTTATCAGTTTGAGAAAGGAGGGAACATAGAAGGAGATGGAGGGAAAAGACTTGGGAGGATCTGGAGGAAAGAAGGGGAAGGGAGAAAGTGATATAATTATATTCTCAATAAATTTTGTAAAAAATAGAAAATTGCTTAAAAGGCTATTCAGACCTTTCTTCTTTTTAAATTGGTTTATTCGGTTTTGTGCTATTGGCGTACTTGAATTCCTTACACATTGTGGGAATAACCTCTTCAGCTGTATAGTTTGAACATGCTCTCTTGATTCTCTTAATCTGCCTCTTTACTCTGCTGATGGCTTCCTTTTCGTGCAGAAGTTTTGCTAGTTTGACATAAACACAGCAAACAATCTTTTTGTAGTCTGTATTTGGGGACATATCAAAACACCACTTCCCAGGCTAGTATCTTAAAGCATTTCTCCTGTTTCCTTCTAGCAGCTTCAGAAGTTATGATTTTATGTATAAGCTTTAATAGATTTGATATTTGTTACTGTAAGAAAGGGCAGTTTCATTCTTATACATATGGGCATCTAATGTTCCCAACACCACTTACCTAACAGAGCCATGGTGTACACTTGGCCCCAACAGAAATCAGCTGGTCACAATGTGTGGGTTGGTTTCTGCCTCTCTATTCTGCTCACTGGAATATAGTTTTGTTTTGTTTCAAGACAGGGTTTCTCTGTAGCTTCTTGGAGCCTGTCCTGGAACTCGCTCTGTAGACTAGGCTGGTCTCGAACTCACAGAGATCTGCCTGCCTCTGCCTCCCAAGTGCTGGGATTAAAAGTATGTACCACTACTGTCCAGCTGGTTCTTTCTGTTTTTAATGTCACTTTGATGACGACAACTTAAACGTACATTTTTAGGTCTGGTTATGTGATGTCCCAGCTTCTTTTTGCTCAAGACTGTTTTGGCTATCCAGGTTTATCTATAGTCTCTTATGAACTTTGAGATTATTTATCATAATTCTTTGCTGATAAGTCTGTATATCATATGGGGACATTTTAGTCATGCTGATCTCCTTATGCATACAGGATATCTGTGTATATATCTGTATGATTTTCAGGATCCTTCATCCTTGTTTTAAATTTTTCTTTTCCTTTCACTTGTCTGTTAAATTTGTGGGGAGTGTTTATGGTTGTTCGAAATGGAACTGTTATTTTCACTTTTGGGGGGATAGGTAGGTTTTCTCAGCATATAGAAATATGATCATCACTGAGACTTTCAGCTAAGATCAAGTGCATGCAGAAATACAAATGTGTTTGGGGTGCTGATTTGGATACTCAATTTTATAGAACTTATTGGTTCCAACAGGGTTGTTTTATTTTTTTTAATGTCTTTTAGAAATCTCTATACATGAAATCAGGTCATCTTTTAACAAGGGCAAATTGCTTTTTTTCTTTGTTATTCTGAATTTCCTTTATTTCTTTTTCTCTTGCCAATTGTTCTGGCAAGGGCTTTCCATCCTATGTTGACAAAAGGCAATGACAATGGGCAACCTTGTCTTTTCCAGAAGTTAGAAGGGAGCTCTCCATGACTTCTCCACTCGGTATGGCATTAGCTATGGGTCTGCCATAAGCACCTTCCCTGGGCTGCAGTTATTCTTTCCACCCTCAACTGTGTAGGGTATTCTACCATGGATCAATTTTGAATTTTGTAAAACGCTTTTAGTGTCTACTTAAATTTCGCTCCCTATGTTTTTGCATTTGGCTCTGTTAATACATCAGCTATTTTACACTAAAGCATTCCTGCATCATTTGATCACAGTGAATGATCTTTTCCAATGTGCCATGAAATGCAGCTTGCCAGCATTTTATTTAACATTTTATGCCTATGTTCATACGTGGTATTGGTCTATAAATTTATTCTGAGATTGTTTCTTATCTAGTATAGGCATGTGTAAGTTTTTAAGGATTCTTTTTCAATTTTTTAAATACTCTGGGAAAACTGGCACTAGTCTTTTAAATATTGGTAGATTTTATAGGAAAGCCTCAAGTGTTGGGTTTTTCTTTGATTAATTTGAAAAAGTGATTCAATGGCAATTTTACTAATAAATTTTTATTGTCATTTTAGTAACTATAATCATTTATTACTGATTCAATCTCAGGGCTCATAAAGGCTGATACAGAAAAATCCCACGTTCATGGCTAGCCATGGTTACACAGTAAGACTCTGTCTCAAACACCTGGGGGGGGTATATGCATTATTCAAATTTGGTAACCTACATAGCACAGAATTTATCTGGTCTTCTAGATTTTCTTTTTATTCACATATGGGGGAAGGGCATGGGTCTGTGTGAGGCAGAGAACAATTTTCAGGACTCAGTTTTCTTTCCACCACGTGAGTCCAACAGGCCTTTATCAGCTGAGCAATCTCACCAGCACTGATATTTTCCCTGTTATACTTGTTCACAGTCCTTTCAGATGATCCTGTGTTTGTTGGTAATGTCGGCTGCAATGCCTTACACTCATTTCTGACACCAAGTACTGTTCTTCACTTAGCTAAAGGCTTTCTAAGTCTATCTTTTCCAAAAGCCAACATATTCCATTTGTCCTTGCATTTCCCAAGTATTCTATTTATCCCTGCTCCAATGTTTAACATTGCCTTGTACTGATTTGGTTCTTGGTTTTCTAGTTCCTTAGGAAGCACCAAAGGTCTCCAGCTAATGTCTTGCTGCTGTTTTATGAATGTTGGTGCTGGTTGCTAAGAATTTCCCTTTGACAATGGTGTTTGCCATAGTCTGTAAGTTTTAGTGTAATGTATTTCCATTTGCCTCAAGAATCTTATACTTCCCATTTAATGTCTTCAGTGGCTTGTCTCCTCAAGACAGTGTCTGACTTCCAAGTATCTAATGCTGCTTCTAGAGTGTCCCCCATTGATGACTTCTAGATTTACACCAAAGTTCTCAGAAAGGAACTTTGAACTTTTTTAAAATTGTTAAGATATTTTTCGTAGCTCAACATGTGACTTGTTCCAGAAAATGCTCAGGGTGCAGTTTAGACAATGGCTGTTAGATGTACTGTTCTAAAGTGTCTTGGGTTCATTGTGTCTGAACATGGGGTGACTCCAGTTTTCCTTTGCTGATTATCTAGATGATCTGGTCACTGATGAAGGCTGGGTATTGAATTCTGCCATTACTATATTACAGTCTATCTTTCCCTTAAGATTTATTAGTACCTCTTTTACATATTTATCTAACTACTAAATTTCATATGTTAAATACCACCTCTAATTTTGTGTTACTTTTATGTTGTTGCTGACTCATATGCTTAGTCCTAACATAATACTCAATAAATATTTCCTGAAAGAATGAACAAGAAAATAAACAATGCCATTATAGGAAGACTTTCAAAGTTTTATTTTAAAATAAATTTTATTTTAATTTTATTTATCATTGCCTGTCAATCTAAATTTCATGGCTCAGTCAACCCTAAGTTCAAACTGATATGTATGTAAGTTACTAAGTCCTTAAAATCCTACAGGTTCTGTTTATGTCATGGCTTAATCTTTTTATATTAACTAATATCACTCTTGTGCTGCAACAGAAACTCAAACACTGTCGACAGGCATTTTCAAATGCAATTAATTTTAAATGATGGAGTGAAATATAATAAAAACAAGCAACAATTCTTCCATTTGCAAAAAATAGCCACTATAAATTTCTCAATCAGTAAAAGTAAAAATGTCAAAATTACTATTCATCTATTGAGTGTTTAATAAAGACAACATAACAGGGCACGATTTGACAATGGTTGAGCAAAACTTGGGGCCTACAAGATGGCACAATGCGTAAATGCATTTGTTGCAAAGGCCTGGAGATCTGAGTCTGAGTCCCCAGAACCCACAGGTAGAAGGGAAGAAGTAACATCTGAGAGCTCTCATCCGACCTCCACATATGTGCATAGCAGCACCAGCCTTCCCCCCAACATGATACATACACAATAATCATAAATAACTTCTTAAAAGAAAGCAGTTTAGCAATTCTAAATGCTCAAAAAGTAAATTAGTTTTAGAATAACGTGAATATGTCATTTATATTCCTTTATATTTTTCTATTTATTGTTTATTAATATCAAATGGTATTATAAAAAACAGAAAAAGATCAAAAATAAAAAAGTATTTCACTCAATAAAATATATCATAGTTTGAAACTAGCTACAGAAGTGCCTTCAAAAGTACACATTTCATAATCCTGTGTTTTACTACAGGAAGAAAAATACATGGTATTTACATTACTTTTGTTTTTAATTTAAAATACGTTAGTACTCAAATTCAACCTCCTATATATTTACACTTAAATTTAATTTTATTAACTTTTAAATATGATATTTTCTCATTATGATTTAAGATTTTAATCCATTTTAGAGCATCATATTTATGGATCTAAGAAGAAATTCCAATGTTAAACTTATAGTGTGGCAAGCATTTCTTATAGAGCATCCATCAGTACATTTCACGTATACCACAGTGGATTCCGTCAGTAGATACCCAGGAAGTAGACGGGGAACGTACATCGACAAACTGGATGATGAAGTGCCTCCTCTGGCCATCTGAGTACACGGAAAGGACATATTCACCAGGCTTCCCATGGCTCTCGCGTACCAGGAAGTCTCCTTGCTGCTTCAGAAGCTCCTGGGCCTCTATCCTCGGGATGGCACCATGGTACCAGTCATGTTCCGCCAGGGGCTTCTCACTCAGAGAGATCATGTCAGAGAGCTAAACAAATGTTTTAAAAACCAAGTTAGAAAAAAAAATTGTCCTAATAAAATTCACTGCAAGTAAAAATACTTATTAAATATGATCTGATTTCATCAGTCAATTAAAAATTAAATGATAAAACTTACTAAGGAAAATATCCTCTGAAGTACAAGGACCGAAGTCTAGCACAAAAACACGTCCTTCAATACTTTCTCTCCATCATATACTGGAACATTAGTTTAAGGTTTGCAGTCCTACTCTTATTCCCCTTATCATAAAATCAATCTATTAAACAATATTTATCAATCAGAAAAATTAGGAAGTATATTCATAAAAATTTATAACAAACACATTAAACCTGCTTTTTCACTGAATTACTTAACTCTGGACTACTCAGGCTATGCACTGTACATAATGGTAGGCAGGAATGGGTCTCGGCTCAACCTCGAGCTGCCTGGCTAAGTACACTCTCGCGCTCCTCCACCTTACTTCTGTTAAGCCACTACTCTGTCACAAGGTTGGCCTTGGTTTTGCAAAGCTATGCAGATAAATCCCTGGGGAAAGAAAATGAGCAGGATATAAACACAACACATGTGGAAATGATTGTAAGTCATGAAACAGAAGAAAAGCAAGTCACCTACTGTTTTAGGAGGTTACATGCTCATAATAAAGAGCAGAAATAAGCAAGGGCTAGCTATGATGCTGTGAAATTCCAGAAATTAGTGGTGATGAAATTAAACATGCTATGGTCACAATTTCTCTTGTATTCTACTCATTCATAAGAACTAAACTGCCTTGTACTATTGGAGTATTTCATGGGAAAGGTATAACATTTTACACCAATTATTATGGTTCTCAGAATACAGTATTAAAGATCCCCATGAAAACATACCATAAGTTTGAAAAAATCAGGATCAATAATAAAATTACAGTTTGGATATAAAATGTCCTCCAAAAGTCCTGTGTTGAAGACTTCGTTGATGTCAGATGTCCTTCTGTATATGTGTTGCTTTTATTGGTTGATGAATAAAGTTGCTGCAGCCAATGGCTTAGCAGAGCAAAGTCAGCAAGAAATTTGAACAAAGATATATAGAAAGAGCAGGCAGAGTCAGAGAGACACCATGTAACCGCCAAAGGTGTATCCTGCTGTCACCGGTAAGCCATGCCACTTAGCATTGTAAGAAAAGCTCCTGGTTAGAAAGTGGTTACAGATATGCAACAAAGACAGATTCAGACAAAAATAAACCTCTGAATGAGTCACAGTGTGTTTAAAAAATGTACGTTAAGTTTGAGAAAGAGGAAAAGGAGTACAGACAGAAAGAGAAATACAGACAGTGAAAGATTAAAGGAGCAAAGATAATAAAATAAATATTAAAAAGTAATAGAGTAAAGACAAATAAGTCATGTAAAGATGGAAAATACACAGAGTCTGGATTATGCATTTTACTGTGTTTTCTTTGAATTTTTTGACTACAGAGAGACATTTGATTCTAGGGGCTGCTAAACTAAACCAACATAAAGATGTCTTGACTTCAAAATTTGAGTCTAAGGATGTTAATTTGGAAAAGAGATTCTGCTTTTGTTTCCATAGAAGATGAGAACCTGTGGATTCCTTCCAGACTAATGTGGTTTGATGAAACGAGACTCTCCCCCAAAATGTTTTCGCGAGCCCTAAAAATACTTCGCCCAACAAACAGTAGGAAGTAGTTTGGAGAAAACTATGCCCAAATTCCAAAAATGATTGTTTATAAATGTTTATTTTCATTTAAATGGGGTTGGTTATAAGTGACTAATGGTCACAGTCAATCTCTAAAAAACGGGGGGATATGATATACAGAGATGAAATATTTTATATTGGTATAGATTTTTGTTCTATTGATACAAATTTATAGTTGATTTTGTTACGCTGTGTATATGTATTTCTGCTCTTGTTTATGGTATTGTGTTCGTGCAGCTCATTTAAAAATGTAATGTATAATTAAAAATTACAGATTAATAGTCATTTATAATAGTCAAATTTATAGTCATGTTAATTAGGACTTCTAGATATTTCAGTTACATAAATAACCTTCAACACTTCAAAGACCTACAGAAAATGACATTTAAAGGTTTTAAGAACTTAAGACTTTTCTCAACAGTGAAACATGTCTGCTTCTGGCAGCACCAATAACTTCAAGAGGAAGATGGGCATCAAAGAGGCTCCTTATGGTGTTTGCTAGCCATTTGGGCAAGAAACTGCTTTTGCCTGGACTACTTGATGGTATGCTATATAAACTGGACATGTAGGACCCACAGAAAAATGACTGCTAAACTTTCCAAAAGATGGGATGGCCCTTCAGGGTTCCTGCTTCAAAGAAGAAACTGCCAGACATTATGCAGGACACAGAAAAAAGCAACTGATGAACTTTGCCAGTACAAGACAGAACAGATCTTAAATTTCCTGCTTCATGGAAAAGTCTGCCAGATGCTATGGGCCTGAAGGCTGAATACGGATGCCCCAACATTACAGAAGAGCTTTGGGTGACTGTCCAGACAACAAGAGGTCTCTGTCATTTCTAAAAGTTTAGAAGTTGCTTACAATGCATTTCCTGTTTAATTAAGTAATAGTATATCCTTCTCAGGTCTTTGATAGAGTTGAAGACAAATAGTTATAGTTTTCCTTATTCATGATAAAAGATAAATTAAACATAAAACTTTAGACTCACAAAGATAGGATAGATGATAGAATATTTTCCTTAATTTGCCAAATAGTAAATGGGTTAAATATTGTAACTATAATTCCTGCTTGATAACTGTTTTGTATAATTTTACTATGTTAAAGTTAAAACCTTCCTTTTCAACTAGACAGAAAAAGGAGAGATGATGTGGGATACCCTTCTGTATATGTATTGCTTTATTGGTTGATGAATAAACCCAATTCAGCCAATGGCTTAGCAGAGTAAAATCAGGCGGGAAATCTGTACAGAGATATAGAAAGAGAGTAGGCAGAGTCAGAGAGATGCCATGTAACTGCCAAAGGAGTAACATGCTGTCATTAGTAAGCCACAGCCTCATTTCAATACACAGATTAATAGAAATAGGTTAATTTAAGATGTAACAGCTAGCTAGGAATATGCCTAAGCTATTGGCCAAAGTGTTACAATTAATACAGCTTCTGTGTGATTATTTAAGTCTGGGCATCTGGAAATGAATAAGCAGTCTCTGCTTACACTTTTTAATAGGCTCATGGTGAGTGGAGCCAAAGGGAAGAAGATAGACGTGTGGTGGCATATCCTTGGAAAGGACCCACAAACAGACTCTTTCATGGCTGGTAAACTGAAATGAGCCTCTCCCCCTCAGAGTCATTTATCTCACGTACTTTGTATCAGAAAAGGAAAGCTGAGTAAGAAGATAAGTAAAAGGTAAGCATACCAACACCCACATAAAAGGATTTATAGGCTGATATTATGAACTTTATGATAACTAGGTAGTAAATGAAAACTAGTTTTGAAGATAGCTTTCACTAATCTGTACCACTGAAGAGGGCTAAAATATGCACGCTCAAGTCCAACATACCATTACCCAAAATTCATCTTACTGGTGGCAAAAAGAAAATGTCCCAATTCAATAGGCCTCAAGCATATTTTACATTATGGTGATTGTTCTTCCATTTACAACACTTAAATTTTAAAAATATGTACATGATGTGACAATTTTTCATAAGTATAGAAGGCCTTTTTACTTTTAGTGCCAACAACAATAAAAATAATAATATACAACAAACGAACCACGGGTAATCAAGTAGAGGGCACTACATTTAAAAATGAGTGTGAAATCTGTCCAAAGCGCTTTGTGAACTTATACCAAGAGCTGACCCTTTCTAAAGAAGGTAATTAGAAAAACTGGATCTTTGTTTTCCATATTTATCACAATATATTTAATATAGTAAATCCAAGTTTGTTTGTTTGTTTATACTATAGTAGGAAACTATTTCTAAGTCTTTCCAACAGCAAAAGTGCCCAAAGATGAGGAATCCGTATGATGTCATTCTCAAGGGTCTTCCTGATGGAACAGTGGCAGAAGCAAGGATGCCACAGTCTATTATCTCTCCCTAGTCAGTCGACTGCCCAGTAAAGCTGGGAGAGTATGGAGAACTCAGTAACTCTGAACGAATATGAGGTTCAACTAACATCAAAAAAGTTATTGATAGATTTGAAGATGAAGTATGTTTGGGAGGGAAGGGGGAATCATCTTGAGAGAATAACTCAGTTTTGTGCTTTGTATTCTGTGCTTAAGAAAACAGATTTATAAAATGTGCCCCAGTATCAGTGACAGCACATTGTCACTAGCAGTCACTGGCAGTATCACGGCACACATTTCAGCTAAAGTGTAAGGAGATCATTGCAGTAATCACCATGTAGCCATACTTCAGCAGAATACAAGACGGTGACACAATGTGCTTATTTTAAACTTCTGAACTAACACATGGAAGAACAGATTTGGGTTCAGACAAAAAAAATCATACAAAATTAATCCCAATAAGCCCTTCTTGAAATTTATATATAATACAAGTAATTCAAAACTTGCGACTCAGAGAATAACTTTGATGTTCCTGAATATGACCACGCAGAAGAAATTAGCATATGGCTATACTAACATGAAACATTTATATTTCCTTGTTACTTTCTTTTTAACACTTTAAAAATGAAAACAGTAAATTAAGACCTTAAGAATAATAGAAGACAACTGACTGTTAATATGCGTTAATATTTAATTTTAATTTGTCTTGTTATGGGAATAACAACATTATTCTAGACACAAAGATGAACGCTGGAAACTACATGAGAACAATAACATTCCCCCCATGCTGGTGGTGGGAAGTTTGTATCATAATACTGATACTGAACTAATAAACGCTTAAACATAGCTATAATATAGTTTTCAAGAAAAATGCAAACAAATGATTCTATATAAATAGAAGCACATGTATTTCACGTTCAAATTCTCATTCAAAGGTTCCCCTCATTTACAAGATTTCTCTGTATAACAGCCCTGACTGTCCTGGAACTCACTTTGTGATTAGGCTGGCCTCAAACTCAAGAGATCTACCAAGTGCTGGGATTAAAGGTGTGCACCACCATGCCTATCTCAAAAGTTCTTAAAATTAAAATAATACTTATGTCAATACAGTAAATGACTTTTATAGAGACAGGATTGACTAATTTAAACCTTTAGATTTTAAACAAAAATGCTTTGGATTAAACAACAATAACTTGGACTAAGACTTATAAGAATCTGATTTTAAATAATGTTTTTTCAAAGAGTGCTATAATTGGTGGGACATTATATAGATCAGAGGAGTAACACCAGTTCTCACATGATTGTGACAAGGAACAAAAGGGCTGCTCAGCCACACATTAGAGCAATAAAGAAAGCCTTGGAGGAAGGGCAATATTCCTGGTATGGTGGGAACAAGTCTCAGTAATTTCAATATGGTTTGAAAGCTTTCTTACTCAAATGAACCATTAAGACTGCCAGGAGCTTGAAGAGGTGCAGCTAATACTGCCCAACACCTCTGTCTCTGGCTTCAGAAGCAGGGTCTGGCAAACAGTTCTCAGTGCAAAATGACAGTCTTGTGAAATTGGAAAAATACTGGATGAGGAGCTGCTCCCAGGCTCTGGGATATAAATGATGTATTATTTGGCTCCCTTCATATGCTGAAAAAGCACTTACTGGGAGCTGATATAAGATGTTAAAATGTGACCTTAACCAATGTATAGTAATAGCTGACACATCAGAGCAATCCACAGTTGAGCCTAGTTCATCTCAGCTAGCTCACTTATGTCCTTCCTTCCGTCCATCAGGATCCAAATATCCCACTGGAGTGCTTTAAAGTTACCTCCATGGGGGTTCCTTGGACTTCCCACAGGACAGGGAACTCTGATTGCTTTTCGGGCTGGCGGGGGGGACTTAATTGGGGGAGGGGGAGGGAAATGGGAGGCGGCGGCGGGGAAGAGACAGAAATCTTTAATAAATAAATAAATTAAAAAATTAAAAAAAAAGTTACCTCCATAATTTAACCATTCATTAAAAAGTATGCAGACTAACAGCCATGGCAGTTAAAAAAAACTATTATGATAAATTTCATATATAAATGATATATATATGCCTTATTTTATCTAAAATTGAACTTTAAAAATTTGTCAGATGTGGTGGCACATGCTTTGAACCCAGCACTAGGGAAGCAAAGCTCTGTGAGTTCAAGGCCACGCTGGTCTACAACAGGACAGCCATGGCTGTTACACAGAGAAATCCTGTCTTGAAACCCACCACCCCCCTTTAAAAAATAAACAGTGATTCATAATTGCTGATTTCTAAATATTTTAAACAAATATGCTTTCAAATGGAGAAGAATGAACTTAGACCTCCACCCCTTTCCACATATAAAAGCAACCTCCCTTGTTTCAAGGCATATGTGAAGATCTGTGAAGGAAACAAGGATGAATATTTGGCATCATCTTGAGCTGGGCAGTGCTTTTTACATATGACATCAAAGTCACAAAACGTAATGTGTTCTTCATCAAAACTAAACACTGCGTGATACTATCACACACAAGAGAAAGAGAGAGAGACGGAGAAAGGGAGGGAGGGAGGGAGGGAGGGAGGGAGGGGGAGAGAAAGAGAGAGAGAGAGAGAGACAGAGAGAGAGAGAGAGAGAGAGAGAGAGAAAGAAAGAAAGAAAGAAAGGCAAACTTACAGGCTAAGAAAAAAAAACATTTGTTTACTATACTATGTGTATAACAAATGAAATGTTTCCCCTAAATAATTTAAAACTCATACAACTTAACATCTACAAAAACCAAGCTTACTACTGTGGGTACAGTTCACTGAGAGAGTGCTTATGCAGCACGCAAACCTGGGATCCAGGTTCAGTTCACAGACAGAGTGCCTAGCATGCAGGAAAACCTGGGCTTAATCTGCAGACCATCAAAAAAAGTACACAAAAAATTTTAAGCATGCAAAGATTGTAAATAGAATCATCTATAAAGAATACATAAATAGCAAATTAGCACATGAAAAATTTATTATTATTAGTCATTAGGAAAATTAAAATAAAAATGACAATGACAAACCAGTCACTAGATGCTTGCAATTAAAACAGAACAGTAAAACAAAACAAAACCAGGAAAACAAGCATTGATAATTATGTGAAGAAATAGTGAGTTTCAGACATACATTGTTAGAAATGTAAATATCACTGCCAATGTGGAAAGCAGACTGTTAAAATCTTAAATTTAGAATCCCTGTATGACTCAGTAATTCTACTGCTAGGTATATGACAAAGAAAAATGAACTCATAGACACAAAGAATGAAAAATTTTCACAGTAAAAAGCCACAAAGTACAGTTTATATATAATGATAAAACTAATGTTTTATCAGATGATGAAGAGGCAAAATGGTATAATAAATCTAAGCAATGAAATAGTATTCAGTCTTATAAAGATTTAAAGATTATCACATAGTACAACATGAATGAACCTTTAAAATATTATAGTAATAGAATGAAACTAGATATAAAAAGCCTATTGCTGTATGACCCTTAGCAGGTGAAAGGCCCAGCAAGAGACCTAGTCACAAGGATATGCAGTATCAGCAGACAAGTGTGGAATTGAAGCTATCTTCACACTAATGTGTTTTAAGAACCCACACAGTAATAATAACTATTATAAAAGTGCTGTTGCCCTAGACACCTGTTTACACTTTCCTCTAGTGAGGTTCCAAACACATGAAGAGCCCCATCATTACATACATGCAGTATAAGAAATCTCTAACATGCTGGTCCCTTTCATTCATGCTGACCATAGCAATTTCAGTTAGTACATCCCAGCAGGGCCTCACATCATCTCACATCTCCATTAGAAGTTACAATGTTATACTTTGAAAGAACCTTCACACAGCCTCCATCACACTATGCTGTGGAACCTGTTCTGTTTTTACCAACATTTCCTGTAGCTACTATCTTACTATGTCTAGTAAACTACGACAGTGGACTATGTATAGAAAATGTGTGTATAAATAGCTTAATACTACCCAGTTTCCAGCATTCAATGGAGGCCTCAGAATGTCCACAAGCAGTAAGGAAGGTCCATTACAAAAAAGCTTTTTCTGTTTTTGTTATAAAAATTTTACTCAGTGGTATAATATATGCAACTGTAAACAGAGTCCAGTGCACAGAGAAAGTTGAATCTGCTCTGCGTTTCCTGTCTGTGAGCATAAACATAAGAAGCAAGACAGTGATCACTGGGGAAACACACAGTCAATCCTACTTACTGCTGATGAGCCCAGTACCGATTTTGGAGACCTAATTATTCCAGCAATTGAATGACGAATAGATTCAAATTTGGATAGTCTCTCCTTTCGTTCCTAAAAAGAGTAAGAAGCAGCCATTAGCAGTAGCAAACCATTCAGTGTTTACATTTTAACATTTAAGGTTTTTTTTTTTAATAGCTTAGTTTTCTAACTATGTCAAATATAAACTTCCTGGCATAACCAACGCATGTAAAATTATAGCATTTTGCTCTTCTGGTCCCTTAATAAATGTCTTGATTTGGAAAAAGAACTACATAAGTCATTTAATTATGAATCCTGTGTAAGCCAAGTTAAGTCTCCAAAAACCTCACTGATGGTGAGGGTCATGAAGGCAGTGACCAAAGGAGGGAGACTAGGTAAACAGTTAGGAAGGGGTAGCAGATCCCTCTCAGCAGCCAGTCAGCCTGTACTTCTCTTTCCAGGTATAGTTCTGAATATCACATATCACAGCAGAGAAACACCTTCTAAATTTTCAGATCTTCATATCTATTTTACCACTGCAAATGACTGGAGAGTGAGTATAGAAAATGAGACTTAAAAGGAGAAGGAAAAAAGGAGGTATAGAGAAGAAAGGCTGGAAAGAGGAAGAACTGGCCTGTAGCCCAGGACTGGGTCACGTTCCAGCTACTGGCCAGCAGCCAGACAGAGAACAAGAGCACTGGCCATAGGCTGCAGCATCTCTACCATTTCCTACCAGCAGGGAAGCTCAGTGCTAGCGTTCACTCCCTGTCTGTTCCCAGAAGCCACTATTAATTTCTCAACTCCAGCGTGTCCCTGTCCACCTGCCCACCCTACTGTTTATACTTCTTCTAAGACCAGCAAGAAAATAGTTCTAACTAGCGTACAAACATATGAATATCAATCAATGGAAACAACTTAGCATAATCTTCTAATAGAACAGGGAATTTCTCCTTTTTCAACATTACTGCACTAACTTAGGATCTCATAAAATCACTATTTGTAGATAAATATGATCACATATAAAACTGAAAAAAAACCTTGCTTAGACTTACAAGGGACTAGAAGTTGGTACTTTGAACATATGCATAGTTAATATACTTCTAGAGAAACACATCATTCTCACCATACAAATGATGATCCCTTGGGAATGTGGGGAGTTGCTTGGTAGCTTTAACCCAACATGAGATGCACATTTAAACAGGATAGATAGATGATAGATAGATAGATAGATAGATAGATAGATAGATATAGATAGATAGATAGATAGATAGATAGAGATGCTAGAAGGTCTGAGCGAAAGAGCACTGAAACACAAGAATATAGTGACCTTGGCAAAGCATGCCTGTCCTCCTCATCCTCAAATTGTTTGTATGTGTATGACTTGTTAACTCTTAAATCTACTTCTGATGCTTCAGAAGTCTGAAAAATTAAATATGATTTAAAAAGAAATTAAAAAAAAAGAAACTATATAGCCAGGACTTAAGGCAGACTGCTGGTGAGCCAAGCAGGCATGCTGTGTGCAGGACAGAGCAGAGCATTCGCGCTGAAGAAGACGGCAGAGGCTGGGCCTTCTACTCTCCAAAGAAACCCGCGCTTTCTCCTCTTCCTTTCTAGATCTGCTCTGCGTAGCTGGAGAAGGCACCTAGTTGCTGCAGCCACTGACAGAAAGATGACATGAAAGTGCTAATGTCACCTGTATGGTGGTGACAGCGTCACAGGAAAGCAGCGAGCACTTCTACTGCGCCTGCGCACTTTTCCTCAGGCAGCTTTCTCCACTGGCATACTAGAGGAAGCGTTATTCCAGTGTGAGAGTACTCACAAGATGCAATTGAAAAGTACACTGAGAAAGCAGAACCCAAAACTATAATTTTCTCCAAATAAAGGTAAAAAAAATTCAGAAGAGAATTTTAAGTATGAAAAGCATTCTCAATGTATGAAATGACTAAATGTATTCATGTGGTAAACTGGGATGCCCACAGCATAACTGGACATCCCACCCTAGAAAAGGAAACCTTTCACTGAAACTCTGCAACATTTCCTGAAGAGGGTAATACGAGAATTATACCACTGTTTAGAACTGCATGATAAATAAATTCAGGTGTGAGGAGAAACTGACCTCCAAGCCCACTTTCCTGATATTACGTCACACAGTACAAGAGCGTCTCTGGCAAACGCAGACTTTCTAAAATCTAAAGGCACTATTTAGATAGACTGATCTGAAAATACATCAGTAATCACAGTAATACCATCTTATGATTTAAGGATGAGTAATCAAAATGCAAATAGGATTTACAAAGTATCCTAGCCAGTTACTGCTTACTGGGTGCCTGTATTTCTAAGAGTAAAACATCAAATTCATTTGCTATGTCTTGTCTATGTAAGATTCAATATCAGCTTTAAATTAAAGTCTACCTAATAACACATCAGACTGTCCTGAATTTGACAGCTGATTTTCCTAGGCAAGAATTAAATGACTATCCAAAAGAAAATAAAGACCGAATGCTGTCTTCATTCCCAGTAGCTAGGGTGAGTGTGCCTGCGCCAGGCGGCTGGGGGGGGCAGTGAGTTCATCCACCTCCAGTGAGGACAAGATATGAAGTTTGCACAGGGGGCAGATCATCTGGCAAAGTGACAGCTCCTCCCAGTGGAGGAAGGCAGGAAAATAGGAGAGCACGAGACAGCACCTCATGTTACCAAGATTCTGATGAGAAAAAAGCAGCCTTGACAGCCCAGTTCCACATGCAGAATGAGTTTCACACCTCGTTTAAGAATAGTTTTTAATAGTGTGAAATTAAATAAGTAAATTAATCAGATCTTGATGAGACACCCCCTCCTTCTCCTCCCACCCACCCACGTTTCACTGTTGACTTTATGTCAAAGAATTAAAAGGCTACTTATAGAAATTAAAGCTAAGAGGTTACCTTTTAAATCAATCATAGAAACAATGCCTAACTACATCTATAACTCTATATGCACACACACAAAACTAGACCATTTCATATTAACCATAAATTTATCTGTTATCACCCATTATAGATATCTTCAGCCTCTATAGGAAACAACACCTAAATTCCCTAAAGCTTAGTCTTAACTTTCTGGGTTTCATGTGACTCAAGTTCTGCAGCAGGAGTGTCCTCTAAGGCCTGCTGAAGCGTGAGCAGAAGCACAAAGGGCAAGAATCACCGACTGGCAGAAATCAGAGGCTACTGCAAACGGCTACCTTGTTGCTGCAAAGAGTGATGACAACACTCACTAAACCACACAGCAGTTATCAAGCAAGGCCCTCGGAGAAGGGCTATGGTGGGAAACAGAAGGCTCTTCTACTGAAAGGGACGAAGACTGCACATCTGGCCAAATGACTAGGCTGTTCTTGGCCTCCCCAGCAGTTGGAGGAAGGCTCAAGACTAGAAAACTCCTGCTACTGAGACCTCTGCCTGTGACTGTGATGCACTGCATGGTCCAATACAGCGCAAGAGTATCAGGCGCCAGGCGCTGCCCACAAAGGTCAGTACTATTCCACACCCAGAGGTCCTCACACAGGCGCTGCCCATGAAGGACAGTCCTATTCCGTGCCCAGGGGCCCTCACACAGGTGCTGCCCACGAATGTCAGTTCTATTCCGTACAGGCGCTGCCCACGAACGTCAGTCCTATTCCGTGCCCAGGGGCTCTCACTGTCACTGCCCACGAAAGCCAGGTCTATTCCACACCCAGGGGCCCTCAGAAAGGCATGAGGGGAGGAGTCAACTTTCAAAGTGGCTATGGGGATACATTTTTGTTCATAATGTGTCATTAAAACAGTAACTCAATGCTATTTCCTGCAGACTTCTGTAATCAAGCCCAATCTCATGACATTCTCTGAAGAAACAACCTGCCCTAGAGGAACAGTAAAACCTAGAGCCCGAAGAATCAAGAGAAAGATGACAGCTACACTCAGAACCTTAGACTGAGAGCCAAAATTCTAAGGGACTTCTTAAGCAACGCAGACATGAAATCTGCAGGGATGTTGCTGAGAAATACCTGTGAGGACATTACACCACAGAGAAGATTGCCCGAGAAAGTCAGTGCTGACAATGACCATAAGGTACAGGAAACACCTTAAATATCAGCACGTCCCTTTGGAAAAGGAATGCACTTACGCATAAGCAAATCTTATGCAGATCTTGATTTTTCTTTGAAGAATGAAAAATAGATGATTTTGTTTCAACAGGGTTTAGAATTTAAGTATTAAAAGAGTTTCAGGATGACTTGTTTGAGCAATTGGTTCACACTGAAGGTGCTGAGGCACTCAGTGCCCAGTCACCAAGTTGAGAATGCCATATTGTCCTCTGATGTTTGCATATTAAGGATATTATTTAAAAAAACATAGCCAACTTGATAAATCAAGTATCTTCATACCCACCAAAAACTAAATTAAGCCACAAATGTAGAAAAGGAAAGTGTGATGATTTTAAAAAGACGTCATTGTAAAACAGCAATGCTTGGGGCCCTGAGAGCTAAGCTGTAAGATGTTAAAATCAGTTTTCTTACTTTCTTAAGTCTAAGCCAGCTGCACAAGAGGATGCCCCTGGGTAAGTCAGAGTGAAGAAGGCTCCCCTCCTACTTAACACCCAGATACAGTTCAAGCTCTACAGTGCTTTTCCTAAACGTGTAACCAAAATCCCTAATAATACTTCTCCTCCTCCTCCTTTTCTTCTCTTTCTTCTGACTATTATATTTAGAGCAAATTTAGATATACAGTAAGGGAGACATACAGAATGAAGAAACAGATTGCCATATTGCTCGCAGACTCCCCACATCAACTGACTTAGGCCAGGGTGACAGCACTGTCACTCAGAGTCCACAGCTGGGATGAGATGAGCTCTTCTCTGGGATACTCTGAGTTTTCAGCACTGCAGTATCAAACAGGAATGTGACTGCCAGAAACTCTGTGCTTGGCACATTCTCTCCTCCTCCCCAAGACACTATGTGGAAACACGACCTACAAGTGTGAGCTGCTGCATTTCCACCTCCCTGGTCCCACAGCTCAAGTGCTGAGGGGCTCTGCTCTGGGTGTGTGTGTGTGTGTGTGTGTGTGTGTGTGTGTGTGTGTGTG